TTACAATTTCTCCTAATATTTAATCTTAAACTCTCCCATCATAGTCTAAGCATAACCTCAGTAGGTGGTTATTGAAAATGAAGACTGGCCAGCTTTCTGTTCCAAATTATTTCAGTGTTTTTTTTTTTTTCTAATTCTGAGTAAAACTCTGCTTTTCCCTTAATCCCCAGCTGTGAAATTTGTGATATGGTTATGAATGGTCTGTGAGATTCTAGGCACAAGAATCTTCTAGGGAATTTGTTAACATTATTATTTTAACTGCTCTGGGAAACTCTAGCACAAATGACAAGACAGTACAAAAGGCGCACTGTACCTGTGTGAGGATTTGGTTAACTCCCTCATCGTGTAATTCACCGCCACTGTTATCAAGCACACACATCTTATCCAGATAATGGTGATTACGTGCAAGCATCTCACAGAGGTTTAGACTTCAGTTTGTAAATCACTGCTCCCTCCAGCAGAGAGATCTGTGAGATGAAATTGCCTCTTACAGTCACACGCACCGTCCTGTTTCATTGGCATTTACCATCTTTGGTGAAACGAGGGCAGGATAATAAAAATGTCACTTTTGTACAAAACTGCTTTCCTTTCAGACAGGCTACTGCAAAAGGAGATGTGAGTCAGTGTATTATCAACCTCGCAAAGAGGCTTTTTATCAGACTTGCTGTTGCCCAGCTTTTGCCCAAACGACAGACTCGGGGCAGGTGGTGACATTTAGGGCTCTAAGATTTGCTGAAGAAGAGTCAAGCTGGGGTTAGTTAAGTATCTTCAGGAGGCCCTGTTTACAGAGCTGTCTACAAGCCCTGCCTGACAGAGCTGACGTATCTCCTGATGGCTCCAAGTCTTCAAGATAGAAATCTGCTGAAGGAATTGCAGAAGGTAAAACAAGAAAATTCTGCAGGAAAGCTTTTTCCCTTGCTGCCCATGCCAACTCTTAAAATTTAAATAATCGCTGGTCTCACTTAAGTAAATGGAAGTTTCAGTGAGGACAGGATTTGGTTCTGGAGAGGTCCAAACTGGCAGGCAGGAGGAGTTTGGAGACATTAGTTTGTTATTGTTTGTGTAAAAAATACTTTTTAAAAAACTTGTTTTAAACCCAATGCCCAAGTTTTCTTGCAGCATGAGAATAAATGAGCAATGGTTCTTCAGTACTCCCCTGCTACTTTCCCAAACCAGGGGAGAGTGCTATACTATTCAACAAGCAATCAGTAAATACTAACCAGATCATTCCTAAAGAACTTCACCTGGTTCTTTTGCTGCCCGTTGGTCCGCATCACATAAAACAGAGCCTAGGTTACTGTCCCCAGGTTCCTCTGGGGCACATATCCTCCTTTGGGTTACACTGCTGCAAGGGAATGAAATTCTTAATTGTCAGACACTAGCGACATAGGAAAGTTGGTAGAGGAATACAGCAAATTAAAAAGGTTGCACCCAAAAAGAATTAAAGCATTGATGGCAGAACACTGAGTGCCAGCGGAAAGATGGAGGAAGAAGGAATATTAGGAAAAGGCGGTCTTTGACAATCTGAAGATAAATGGCTGTTAGACAGGTGCTGACTGACAGGTGGGGCTTGGGTTTCCCTGAGAAAGGCAGCTTTCCCACTATGCTTTCATTTACTGAGATTGAAAAGTCAACAATACCAACACAAGATTACCTTTCGAGGCATACATATGCATACCAGAAAGAGAAAAGCAGGTAGATTTTGTGCAGATCATGTCATCTTTCACTTTTCTGACTTAGATTGTGGTGTCTGCCTCTTTGGAAAGCGCTTGGAGATCCACAGATGGAAGGAACGATGCAAAAGAGTCATGGTATTCAAAAACAGGGCAAAACATTTAAGAAAGCTGCAAAAGAAGGGAGACCTGTGGCACTTCACTAATAAACATGTGGCTCAAAAGCTCCCTCATCCAAATAATTGCTTTTCAAAGCGTAATCTCACTCAGCACTGAAGTAGGAAGATGCCTCTCATTTCCTCTCTGAGTTTTCATTAAGTCTCAGAGCTGCTTTTCTAACGTGCTGACAGGCGTGATTTTACAATGGAGTTCCTCTGGGGCCAGAGGAGACACCCACCCACCAGCACACAAAAATGGGTGACTGATGATTAACTAGGCAGCTCCTGAAGAAGCAGGATGACTTTATACTCATTACAGAGCTGGGCTGATGACAGTGCCTGTCTGCTTAG